GGTGGATGGAACTGTTGTGATGTTTTACGTGTGATTAGCATGGTTTCAGATTTGGAAGGATTAAACTTGACTAGCCATTTGTCAGCCCATGAAGAAATCTTGTTTATGTCAGATTGAAGAATATCAGCCGTAGTAACTGGATGATCAACGATCAAATACAAACTGGTATCAAAAAGATTTACAGAGGACCTTAAGTCAACAACAATATCATTGATATAAACTAAAAAAAGAAGCGGACCCAGAATCGAGCCTTGAGGAACTCCTGCGTTTATTACAGACCAATCAGATTTGACTCCAGGAAGGACAACAGATTGGCGTCTATTTGAAAGATAATCCGAAAACCAGTCGAGGAGGGGTCCCTGAATACCGGCACATTTTAGTTTAAGCAGGAGACCCTTGTGCCACACTTTATCAAAGGCCTTGCTGATGTCGAAAAAGACAATCCGGATCTCAAGACCTTCATCAAGAGCCTTACAGAAAGAGTTGTAAAGAAAGGTTAGTTGATTCACAGTTGAGTCGCCAGGTTTGAAACCAGATTGAAGGGGCGATATAAAGTCATTATCATGAAGAAAGTTAAAGATATACTTAAACAAAATGCGTTCAAAAACTTTTTCCATACAACACAATAGTGATATAGGACGATAATTGCTGGGTAACGATGGATCTCCTTTCTTAAAAATTGGGCAAATGTTGGCATCTTTCCAAGTTTGGGGAATCTTACAAGTTAGGAGTGAATGATTAAAAAGAGAGCAGAGTGGATATTTGATTACGGACGAGGTTTCGAACAAGATACGATTACTTATTTCATCGGGCCCAGAAGCTTTATTGGTATTTAAAGTTTTGATAGCATCTTCAACATCTTGAGTTGTAATACTAATTGAAGTGAGAGTGTTCACAGACTGTTCGAAAAAATCGCCAGGAACTTCTTTATTGCAGTTTTCAAAAGAGGACTGGTTGCTAAAATAGTTGTTTAATAAGTCAGATTTTGATTTGTTATCATATGAAAGTGTTTGAGTAACTGGGTGAGAGAGTGCCGGAATTGTTTGCTTTTCAGTCGGTGATATGAATGATTTAATGAGTCTCTACCAGTCTCTCTGCGATGTGTTGTCTGATGTAAGAGAGTCTGCTAGTTTCTGGATGTGGTTACGTTTGGCCGTGTGAATAAGTGAGATGACTTTATTACGTAATTTTTTGAATGAGTGCCAGTGCAAAGGATTTTGGGTTTGTTTGGCTCTGTGATAAAGTTTTTTGCGTTTACGAATAAGCTGTTTGATTTGTGTCGTTATCCATACTGCATCAGTCGGTTTTACTATTATTGTTCTTGTAGGTATGTACTGCTTGTTCGAGAATTTTGTTGCTTACTAAAGTTGCGTGTTCATCTATGTCGGTGATTGTATATTGATCCCAGTCAGTTTGCATAATACTTTGTTTCAGAGCGTGGTAGTTGCCGCGATCATATAACCATATAAAACGCTTGAAAGATCCTGATTTAGGTTTAGAAAAGGAAAAAAGAGCAAAAATAGGGCAGTGGAAGCGAATGTTTTGGTCCAAAACTGATTCCCCAACACCTGATGTTATTACTCGGTGACTGCAAGAAACAAGAAAGAGATCTAAAACAGATGCTGACGACTCGGTAAAATGTGTAGGTTCGTTTATGAGTTGTTCAAGGTGAAATTGTTGACAAATTGAAAGAAGTTTGCGTGATAATGTCGGATTAGATGGATTAAAGTTAAAGTCTCCAGTTACAATTATATCTGTTATATTTGTTTCTTCTGCCAAGTTAAGAGAGTGTTCGATAAGAGTTGTATAATGTGCATCTGCATTGGGAGGTCGATAAAAAGTACCAAACAGAATACGTTTAGATTGAGATAATAAAATTTCCACCCATACACATTCTATATTTCTAGGTTCGAGATCCCACCGCCGTTTGTAAAATAGTGAATTCTTAATGTATACAGAAACCCCACCATGACTGTCATCAATCCTGTCATTTCTTTCTGGAGAATGAAAACATGGTATAGATATATCAGAATTGGAAACACTGGGATTAAGCCACGTTTCTGAAAACGCAAGAACATCGAACATACTAAATTCAGTGGTTAGAATTTCTATTTTGCCAAGCAGGCTTCAAACCGAGCCTGCAACATTTTCAATTTTGCCGTGTTGGGCTTTCTTTAGGGATTCTGTATTTATCTATTTTATGATCACATCCGTGTTATTTGTGCCGTGTGGCGGCTGTAAAAAGTCTCCCCGTACATTTAATCAATGATGTTATATTTTCGATCCTTGAAGATCGTTCAGCACGACATTATTGTTGTGCTTGTGATATTTTTTGTTTCAACTTTTCGGCATTTTGTAGTTGGGTGGTTCCAATATTCCTACTTGAATAATGTTGAATCACCCTTAGGATATGTTGCCTGCTTTTTAAATTTGTCTTTTGACGTCTTATCTGTGATACGCAGGCTTCATAACCTCTGATCCCCTTTCAAAATTCCATTTTATTTAGTTCTGCCCATTGTTTTCTCGTTTAGGGCACACGTTTTTTATTACTTGGGGACCATACGCCGCTTTTCATGGAATGGCACTTACGTGTCACATTGAAGGTTCCATGATAACCGCCGTATGAACACATCTGCGGATGCTTCTAAATTCAAAATTGTACTATTTCACGTTTAAATGTTGAATTCTGCTTAAGCTGGTGCTAGGGGGCGTGGACGGTAACTTGCACTTTCCAGTACCGTCCATGAACAGGCTCAATCAAACCGAGCCTGCAACATTTTCAATTTTGTCGTGTTGGGCTTTCTTTAGGGATTCTGTATTTATCTATTTTAAATGTTGAATTCTGCTTAAGCCGGTGCTAGGGGGCGTGGACGGTAATTTGCACTTTCCAGTACCGTCCATGAACAGGCTCAATCAAACCGAGCCTGCAACATTTTCAATTTTGCCGTGTTGGGCTTTCTTTAGGGATTCTGTATTTATCTATTTTGGACATTATATTGTAGTACAGATAAACATGAAGTTGACGACATTAGACTTACTAGATCCAAAGACATAGACGACGTAGTGGACAATGATGCAGTCGATGAATTTGTTGATGATGGACCAGGATTCGGATGAATATCTCCAGATAAATTAAGAATAATATGCAGCCATTGAATGCACACCATTTTGGTGAGAATAGCGATGAGTACATGAGTGAAAAATACGTTTTGAATGAAGCACTCATAACATGGATTGATTCGTCTGAATGGATATTTAATGTTGTTTTTAACTTGATTCCTTAAGTGGAGAGACAGCGAGAATGTTTGTATAATGTTTGGAGCAATGTGTACAAGAGCCAGCATATTCAGTAAAAGGGAAAATTTCCATGTACAAGAGTAAGAGTGCATGATAGTGCATGTGCCTGAAAATTTATTCATTATGTGATTGACGTTATAAACAACAAAAAACGCGCTATCACTATCATGCCGAAGATATTAATTATTGAAATCCAATGCATTCCATTTACAATATTCCGAATAGATTTCCTAGGAGAAAAATGAAAGTGAACATAAAGGGAGAAAAAGTGTGAGAAGAAAACAGAAAATAAAGAAAACATGACTGAATAATGACAATTTAAAGATAAGTAAACAATATAAAAGGACCAAAAGGAGCATTTAAATCATAAGCTTAGTTGAAGAATGTGCGTACTATATGCGTAGCTCGTGATTTATAAAAAATATCATTTTAATTAATGGTAACTTCAATAATATATAATATTGTACTTTAAATATTATTTAAAAAAAAAACAACAACTAAACAGTTACATTACCTTATTAAAAAGTTACTTACAATTATTGGACAAATATTGTACTTCAATGGTTTGTTACAAATATATAATAAAAGATAAAAACATGTTTACATTCTTGTTAAATATCATACCTAACACAAGAGGAACAGTAAATAGGGACAATTTCAAAATGTACTTATTTGTTATTAAAATTATTTCAACGAAATTATTTCTTGAATAAAGTCACAAAAATATTGACATATCAAAGGAAAATTACCAGACATATACATATATTTATAATAACATATAAGCTATTCTCAAATATATGGGTTGTATATTGATTGAGTTATCTAAACTTTTTTTTATTGTATTGTTGGCGTTATCTCAATTATATTTCAATTTACATTTATTTTTTACCAGCAGGAATACATAAACAATGCACAAAATCATACAAAATTATGTGCATACAGGCACGCACGCACACACATACACACACACGCACGCACACACACGCACGCATGAACCCAAGCACGCACGCATATGCACACATACATGCAGCGTACATGTTAGCACACATTTACATATGCGTACACACATGTACAAATACAAATATATACATACATATATGAGTTAATCTTTACCTTACTCGTGAAAATCATTTATAAGTATTTCTAATGGGTTATAAATTGCTCATTTACTTCAATTCGATCTTATTTCCAAGAAGATAAATATAATCTCAAACATTACGAATCTGTTATACAATTTAAGATGGTATATCTCATCGCAATTTATTTTCAGTCTTATTTTAAATAAGGAGAGAAAAAAGTACAGCGAAGTAACGTGGTAAAAAGTAAGAACCTGACAAATCGAGTAAAAACCTTAATATGATATACTAACTCTTAACAATAACTACTGCAATTTCTTTCATACGATAAAAGCAATTTTACTAACAGGCTTCATGTATATTTTAATATGACAATGATGTGTTTAAATGACATTTATTTTTTTTACTTTTGTTACAAAACTTTAATGTTAAAAAGCAATGATAGTTTATTTAGTAGGTCATCAATATAAATATAAACATACAGATACATATACACAATTGTCTATAGTGCAGTTCAGATATAGAACATTGAAACCGTTAAAAAATGTAAATAGTTTTGGAATGTCACGCACGTTATTCACGGGATTGCCCTATTTGTTAGAGTTGAGGTATACTGCATAACATTAACTAATCGACAGTATATGAATAGAACTGAGATAAGTCGCGTTTTGAAACTATACGATGTATAGACTCTGTGTTGCTTTTGACGATTATTGTTCCGTCAGTGGTCCAAGCGCCGAGAATTACTTTATTTTTTACAAGTTGTCGTGCTTCATACAGAAGTTCCGATCTAGTTTTAGTTAAGTCTTCATTTACAAAGGTTTTCGGGTGGCCTTTAGTCTTCAGAAGAGCTCGCTTCTTGAGAATTTTGTTTCTTGAACGACGGGAGGCGAATTTGACTATGATATCGCGAGGTTTTCCAGAAGATCGAGGTTTACCGAGACGATGTGACACCGCTATTTCATCTAAGCTTAAGTCAGCATCAATGCTTGAGCTCAAATCAAGTATGATTTGGTCGGTGTTCTCATCTTTATTTTCGGATACTCCGGTGATACGCAGATTATCACGGCGACTGTACTGTTCTGCAGCGTCGGCTCTCAGTTCAAGTACGTCAATACGGGTAGTTAAGGCTAGGTTCGTTGATTTTAGGTCCTCGTTTTCCTTTTGAAGTGTATTAATTTGTAATTGCAAGCCGTCAACAACTCCTTTAACTATTGATTCAACTGTTGCATTTAGAGCTGAGCATACTTCTGCTTGAATTGACTCTTTAAGAGCTGAAGCAATTGATTTTACAGCCTCTTCATCAAGAGCTAGAGGCGCTTCTGGAGAGGACATTTCTAGAACGTTTTCTAGTTGGGAGTAATCAGGTGACTTGAAGTTATATTTATTCTTCTTGGGCGCAAAAAGGTCTTCTGGCGACGATAAATCTCTTTTATTACTGTTTGAAGCTTTTGGTGTATTATCTATATTGCTCATAATAAATGTATCGTGACTTTTGTCGGGAAGTATACTTTTCAAAACAGATAGCGTAACTGTTAGGCGATCACTTTTCACGATTTTTTCGGACTTAGTTAATAACGCACGAAATTCACAGTATTTCACTTTCAATAGACAATGATATTTAAATAGAGTGTCAAATAATCATGTTAATTACCATTTAATTGTTGAATTTATCTTCACATGCTTCTAGAAGTTTAAAGTCAAAAACATTTTCTTCGTATTCAAACACTTTTCAGCCCCTCAAAGGTCCTTAATAGCTAATAAATCATAGTAAATTTGTAGACTGAAAAAATAAACAACACGCCGCCATCTTTAACGGAAGCATAAAGTAACGTTGATTGTGGAATTATTGGAAACAAAGTGTCAAACTTGTAACAAGTGTCTTTGTCTTCCATAGCCACTGCAACAAAGGACAAAGAAAACTTCAAAAATAAAACAAATAAAAAATTAAAAAAATATGTGTAATGAGACAACACACACATGACAAATGTGAATGATTGTTTGTTAATTTGGTAATGTTTGGGTTTAAATAGCCTTTTGAAAAAAAAAGTAAATTTTCTTGCCACACAATAATTATAAACTCTCCTTAGATAATTGATGGTGCGGATTGTAAATTTCTGCATAATGATACGTCTACATCAGTATATCTTAATATCTTAGCAACACTTTTTCATTATGTCAAGTAACAGGAAATTAACAGAGACTCCTGCCGTGTGTTATTGATGACAAATGCATTAAAGTTACATTTTTGTCTTTGGTATAATATGTACTCATAATGGGCTTTCTTAGTTTACAATTGACTTTTACATTAATGTGATTAAAATATTGATTTAACGACGGATACAGCATCAATGTGTTATTTTTGAAGGATAGATTTTGTAAAATTTGTAAAATTGGGAAATATGAGCTGTTTATATATAATTGTAATGTCAACATTTTCATTAATTTTGAAAGCAAATCCGTTCCATAAATCGTCCCTATAAAAGGTTTGTTATTCAAATATTAAAAGAGTACACCGTTCGAATATAAAATATATCAAGAGATTAAATAAAATGGCAGAGCAACTAATATTGTTAGACAAAAACAAGCAATACATGTAAGCCTTACTGTTAACAATGCTACAGGGAACTTTTAGCTTATTTTTAGGGTTGCGTTCATTGAACGCCGTGCATCCTTGTTGATCTGTTTATCATATTTTACAATAAATGATTGAATGTATATTGAACCCTCTACCCCCTTTGATTCAAGAGTTTGATATCAAATACTAGTTTTGTGTGTAATTTATGGAAAGCCTTGACTGTCTTATGATTGTAAAAATAAACGTTGTTGTGTCACTCTTTCTTTATACTATGTGCACTCATGAATATATTATGTAGATGCATCCTTATATGAATTCAACTGAACAATATATGATGTCAATGTGTCCTTATATGATGTCGACCAATCATTATACGATGTGCATTTATGAATATATGATGTGGTAGAATCATTATATACAGTCAACTCATCAATATATTATGTCAATCTTTCATTATACGATGCGCATCTATTATTATACGATGTGCATTTATGAATATATTATGTGGTTGCATCATTATATACAGTCAACTTATCAATATATTATGTCAATCTATCAGTATACGATGTGCATCTATTATTATACGACCGCTGCTTTATATGAAGTGCAAACATCATTATATGGTGTGCTTCTGTCATTATACTGATGGGGTTAATTTACCGGGTTATATTTCACTATGCACCGTTCGTGTCAACAGCGGGGAAAACTCGAAGTAAATTATATCATAAAGTGTTAAGCTGACTCTATGTACAGACAATTCTACATACTATTGTGTTGTTTTGATTCTACATAAGAATGGTTGCACATAATATACTCGTAATTGCACATCATATAATGAAAGACTGACATCATATAAGGACGTGTGGACATCATATAATGTTAAGTTGACTCTATATAAAGAAGGTTTCACATAATATATTCATTAATGCACATCGTATAATGAAAGATTGGCATCATATAAGGACGTGTGGACATCATATAATGTTAAGTTGACTCTATATAAAGACGGTTCTACATAATATAATGTTGTTTTGACTCTATATAAGAATGGTTCCACATAATATATTCGTAATAGCACATCATATAATGAAAGACTGTCATCATATAAAGACACATTCACATCATATATTGTTAAGTTGACTCTATATAAGGATGGTTTCACATAATATATTGAAAAATGCACATCGTATAATGAAAGATTGACATCATATAAGGACGTGTTTACATTATATAGTGTTAAGTTCACTCTATATAACGATGGTTTCACATAATATATTGAAAATGCACATCGTATAATGATAGAATGACGTCATATAAGGACGCGTTGACATCATATAATGTTGACTCTATATAAAAATTATTCCACATAATATATTCATAACTTCACATCATATAATGACAGACTGACATCATATAAGGACAGATTGACATCATATATTGTTATTTTGACTCTATATAAGGATGGCTCCACATAATATATTCAAAAATGCACAACGTTTAATGATAGATTGACATCATATAAAGACACGTTGACATCATATATTGTTCAGATGACTACATATAAAGATGGATCCACATGATATATTAATGGGTGCACATTGTAAAAGGAAAAGTTGACTCAATATATTGCTATATGGAAAATAACAACGTTAAGGTTTATAATGATAAGACAGTCAAGGCTTTCCATATAATTGAATCTTTTTTAAAGCTGTACGCCTCAAGATGAGCCAAAATATATCAAGAAAATATATCAAGATGTGAAGAAAAATAACAATACTCAAGATTTAAGCACAGTTTTACATGTAACGTGTGATTTATGTATATTGTTAATTTTGAATGATTCTCTTATTTAAAAAAACAACATAATTTCAATATCGCGCTGCGTGTGAAAACTATTTAAGTGTACAGTAAAAGCATATTTTTACACACACTAATAGCAATGATTAAAATTTTAGATAAATAATGGCATAAATATCAAAATAATGAAGTGCCTGGAGCTATGAGTTGCTTTAACGTAACTCGAAATTAAAAACTCAGCAATTACCTTGAAATCTTTTGCAAGTATGCCATTTTATTTTTGTATAATTATGAGTAGTATAATATACTATTATGAATTTCTTAACACCAAAAAATGTGCAACAATTACAAGAATATCATAGTTCGCACAATTTGCAGAAAAGCTCACGAAGATATACAAATTAATAATATTAGATGCATTAAAATTAGAGAGATATAAAAGTGCATCTATGCATGGTATTCTTCACACTGACTTGGCAAGCCCGATGTAAGTTCTCACAAATCTGTTTATGACATACCTTCGGAATCATTCTTCGGAATATAAGAATTGTAGCATATAAATAGAAGTGAATTTATTTTCGTACTTAAGCTATGGAAAAACAGTTGAAGAGAAATAATATTTACCGAAACTGAAATAGGATGTAGGTATTTAGTATTTTTTCTAATTTAACAAAATAAAGACAAACAAATTCTTGCAAAACATGATAATAACCCAGCACCTCTTAACAAGGTGTGCAGGTGGCAGATGTTTCCTAGGTTAATCCGCAAGGAATAACTTATTTTTACTCATAATTACCGAAACTGCAGTAGCATATAAATATGTTATCTAATTTGAACAAACTAAAGAAAAGCAAATTAAAAAAAAAGAATAACAATGTGGCATATGTTTCCTGAGTTACTCTGCAAGAAATAACTCATTTTCACTCATAATTTATCTAGTAATCTATGTAAATTTCAAGACATTAACGCGTTCTTGTAATGGTTATCAGTGAGTCACGTTTCATTAGCTGAAGCAAATGGCTTAAATAATATCTTATATCTTTTACAAAAAAAATCTAGATGTACTTTTAAATAATTTTTAAATTTTTTAAATTCAATATTGACGAAATAACATGTCAAACACAAGATACAGTTTAATTAACTTTTTAACTTTATGTGATAATTTGTTCTGTTGTCTGCATGTTAGTGAAGACCTATCTACAGTGCAGTTTATTATACTATTGCGTGTTTCAACCATTCTGTATTGCCGCGCTTTCATTTAATTTTCTGAATGTTTATTTGAGACAAAATTTAATTCACTTGTTGACAAACTGACTTAGAAGGAAACATGACGTGAAAGTGCACTACATGTCTTGCATTGCAAGTATTTTGTAGGATTCTATAAAATACGCGTATTTTATCAATTTTATATTGAATGTTAATATACATATATTTAAGCAAAAATTAATGTAAGAATATATTTGAAATGCATGTTATGCATCTAATTGGAGCATGTATTAAAAAAAATGAAATTAAAAGAAAATGTATGATTTATATATATTTATATATATTCATAAATAAAACAAATTTCAGCAACATTCTTAAAACCCATAACTTTATAAACAATATTTGCAGGTGTATATTTCCACCTGAATGAGTCTGCAAGGAATGACCTCATTTTTTTTTACAATACTGATATACCAACACTTTGAACGCTTAACATTGATGGGTGTCCTCCATCAATTAACTGAGTAAAAGTTTACTGCATCTGCAACATTGATCTGGATGTTATAATTAAACAAACCTAAAAAGTCGAGTTAAACAAATAACTCAGTTTATTTAATATGCTAGACAATAATCAAATGCCTACAAAAGATAAAATAAAGTGTTGTGAGAAATTAATGCATAGTAAATTAGCCTTAAAACAAATCTGCTACATTTATATTAAATGTATGTATTTACCTTACCTTGATTTGATTAAATACTTCTTGACGGAAAAAACTTGCACTATTTTAAGTAAAAAAAACCTTTTCTTAGACTAGTACCATTTAGACGAGCAATCATTGCCAAACACTAATTTTATCATTTGAGTTCATGCATTTACTCTACGACTGTATTTTGA